GCTCCATGCAAGATCTCACCTCGTGGAGTTGCAATGATCATGAGAACGGTGAGGAATCAGCCCAGAACTACACGGGAGGATCTTGTCAATGATCTGAAGGCAGCTGGGACCATAGTCACCAAGAAAACAGTTGGTAACACACTACGCAGTGATGGACTGAAATCCTGCAGCGCCCGCAAGGTCCCCCTGCTCAAGAAAGCACATATATGTAATGCGAGCATAAATGGGGTTGCTGCTGGGCTCTGGCCCAATCACACGGCCCGGGGTATTGGGGGCGGAGCCCAGTATGGGGGGCGTGTGGGAGGGGCCGCCGTTCACCTCGGCTCCAATGGGAAGCAAGGTGAATGGACGTGGAGCCAGCAGGGCAGTATGGGAAGGCCGGATCTGACGATCCGGAAGGGGAGGAGTCAGGGTCACGTAGGGAAAGAAGATATAGAGGGGAGCCCGGAAGAGATCGAGGTCAGTTGATGGAGTGAAGAAGCAGGACCACGTTGGGTGGCCGCCGCGCCGCGCCATCAGCCATGTGGTGAAAGGAGCGTGCGGTGCACGCGAGAGGAATGTGCGTGGCACGCGAGAGGAGACGCTGGTCTCTTGTCAGGACCAGCGGGGTGTGAGGACGACTGGAGGAGCTGAGGAGGAAGCGCGTGCGGGGGCACGCGAGAGACGACGCTGGTCCGCGAAGGAGACCAGCGGGGTGCGAAGAAAGAACTTGAATAAATACCAACGGAGACCAGCAGTGCCTGACGGAGGCTTTTATTACATATACATGCCCGTCTGAAGTTTGCCAATGAACATCTGAATGATTCAGAGGACAACTGGGTGAAAGTGTTGTGGTCAGATGAGACCAAAATGGAGCTCTTTGGCATCAACTCAACTCGCCGTGTTTGGAGGAGGAGGAATGCTGCCTATGACCCCAAGAACACCATCCCCACCGTCAAACATGGAGGTGGAAACATTATGCTTAGGGGGTGTTTTTCTGCTAAGGGGACAGGACAACTTCACCGCATCAAAGGGACAATGTACGGGGCCATGTACCGTCAAATCTTGGGTAAAAACCTCCTTCCCTCAGCCAGGGTATTGAAAATGGGTCGTGGATGGGTATTCCAGCATGACAATGACCCAAAACACACGGCCAAGGCAACAAAGGAGTGGCTCAAGAATAAGCACATTAAGGTCCTGGAGTGGCCTAGCCAGTCTCCAGACCGTAATCCCATAGAAAATATTTTGAGGGAGCTGAAGGTTCGAGTTGCCAAACGTCAGCCTCGAAACTTTCATGAGTTGGAGAAGATCTGCAAAGAGGAGTGGGACAAAATCCGTCCTGAGATGTGTGCAAACCTGGTGGCCAACTATAAGAAAGGTCTGACCTCTGTGATTGCCAACAAGGGTTTTGCCACCAAGTACTAAGTCATGTTTTGCAGAGCGGCCAAATACTTAATTCCCTCATTTTTGAAATGCGTTTTTCTGGATTTTTGTTGTTGTTATTCTGTCTCTCACTGTTCAAATAAACCTACCATTAAAATTATAGACTGATAATTTCTTTGTCAGTGGGCAAATATACAAAATCAGCAGGGGATCAAATATTTTTTCCCTCACTGTACCTTGTCGGGTGCACGTGTTTTCTCAACCCTCGACTTGTTGTCAGGATTTTTGCAGCTGCCCATCAGTGTGCCGGAAAAGGTCCTGCCAAGGATTATTCAACATCGCCTTGCCAGGCACACTGAGGAGAGGCTTGCGGAGCACCAATGCGGTTTCAGGCAATGGCGATCCTGCATAGATGCCATATTTTCTGTTCGTCTGCTACAGCAGAGGTGTAGGGAATTCCAACATGACCTACATCTCTGCTTTATTGACCTGGTCAGTAGGCCTGGGCTCTGGGTTGTTCTTCGTGCTTTCGGAGTCCCTGACCCTCTGCTCACGATCATTAAGGACCTTCATGATGGTGAGTGGGCCCGGGTAAAACTACGTGGCTGGGAGTCAGAGTCTTTCCCTGTACACCTTGGGGTGCGACAGGGATGTCCTCTGGCTCCAACATTATTTAACATCTATTTTGACCACGTAGTTCGTGAAGCCTTCAATGGTTGTACCGGGGGAGTCTTCATTTGGTGCAAACGTGGTGGGAGGCTGATCGATGCCCGGGTGCGATCGGGGGATGGCTCCCTGTTAGTCGGCCACGTTGTGTGTGCCAATGATTTGGTGGTGGCTCACTCAGAAGAGGAGTTGGAGGTGCTGCTGCTGAGACTGGAGCGTGCCACTGAGGGGTGGGGCCTTACCATCAGCCCCACCAAGGCTAAGCACCTGCCTGGGTATTTTGTGCCATCGGACACTCCACCCCCACGGCTCCCAGTCGGTGATGGGGCAGTGGTGGAGAGAGTGGAGAGTTTCCCATACCTGGGCAGTGTACTTATGACCAGCTCCAGTTTAACAGCAGAGGTCTCACTCCGAATCAGTCGAGCGGCAATATCTTTTCATCGGTTGCGTAACGCTGTGTGGAAGCTACCTGGTCTGCGCTCCGCACGAAGCTTCAGGTCTTCTCGGCCAGTCATTCCCTCCCTTCTCTACGTTTGCAAAACGTGGACCCTCCTAATGGAGTATTTTCGCCGGTTGGAAACATTTAGGCTGGCCTGCCTACGATCCATCCTGGGTTTAACCAGGCTGGATTGTGTGAGGAGCTCACAAATCCTTGAAAGATCTGGGCAAAGTCCCATCGGTGAGCTCCTCCGGCAGGCAAGTCTGCATTGGCTGGGTCATGTAGCCCGCATGCACAGCCACCGCATGCCTAAACAACTTTTGTTCGGCCGGATCGAGGGGGCTAAACGGGCGCGGCACGGGCTAGAGAAGAGATGGAGTGATGTGGTACAGGAGGACGTGGAGCTGAGTGGACTTACCGATGACTGGTACCAGCAGTGTCAAGATCGGCCTCTGTGGAGGAGGCTCGTAAAGGACGCTACTGGGCAGTTGGAGGCAGTCGCCCTCCAACAACAACGGAGGGCGGAGGAACGATGCTCACAACAACGAGAAGAGCGCCGGGTGGCTAAAGCACAGCAAGTTGGCACAGTAGGGGGCACAGGTGGTGCATCAGCCAGTCATCTCGGTCATCTCAGTCAGTCGACCCGTGGCACCTGGGTCTGCCCCGTGACCTCCTGCCAGCGGGCGTTCGACACTTCACGTGGCCTCAAGGTGCACATGGCCTGGCACAAGCGTCGTGGTGACGTCACCGCCACTTAGTGGCGAATGGCGGTTGTTGTTGTTGTGTGGACCAAATGGAATGTCTTCGCCGGTTAGAAATATTAACGCTATTCTGACGATCCATTCTGTGTTTAACTAGGCTGGATTGTGAGCTCACAAATCCTCCGTCAGGCAAGGCTGCGTTGGCTGGATCATGTAGCCCGCATGCCCAGCCACCGCATGCATAAACAGCTCTTGTTCGGCTGGATATAGCGGATACATAGTCGCAGAATGGGCTAGAGAAGAGATGGAGTTATGTGGTACAACGAAACGTGGAGCTGAATGTACTTCCTGATGACTGATACCAGTGGTATCAAGATCAGACTCTGTGGAGGAGGCTCATGAAGGATGCTACTGGGCAGTTGGAGGCAGCAACAATGGAGGGCAGAGAAGCGATGCTCACAACAAAGAGCGGAGCGTCGGGCAGCTAAAACACAGCAAGTTGGCACTGTAAGAGGACACAGCTGGCGCATATGTGGCACATTAGGAATGGATCACTCTTTTAATTATATCCTTGTGCAGCAAGGGAGTAAAGTGTGGTTCTGTGAAAGTCCTGATGTGCTGTGCAGTGCATCAATGCATGTGTGGACAGCAGCATGTGATGACTGAGTTGGGCCTGTAGGTGGCTGGCAGGGTTAATGAATAACCGCACGTGTAAACCAGCCACTTGGTTAATGGCGACTCGGAAGAATTGCTGTGTGACACATGCTGTTGCATTTTACAGGTAAAGGACCCAAAGGTTGTTTTTGATAGTTATATAAATGTTCTAGATTTGTTCTAGACTTTAAGCTTGGCTTTGAATTGTTCGTTTGTGAGATATGCAATTAGAGGCGTTTTAGCACTGTGCATTGTAAAGGGATGACGCACTGTAATTACCTACTGTCATTGTAATTCTCTAACTCTAGTACTGTTATTCTATAACCATGCCCATGTATCCAGAGTATGACTACTTGCAATGCTATTGAGAATAGAACACATGTAAAGTAGTAAGCTGTACAATGGTGATATACAGTACATATACTGTACACATACAGTACATATAATGGGTGTAAGATACTGATATAAGTGGATGGTATAGATAGACATACAGCTTAGGATTAAAGGAATATTCGAATAGTGCTGTGCAAATGTGATTGTCAAAGACAAAGATGGTTTATCAGTAGTAGAATTGGGTTTAAGAGAAAACTGTTAATGAATAACCGCACGTGTAAACAGCCACATGGTTAATGGCGACTCGGAAGAAATGCTGTTGTAACACGTGCTGTTGCATTTTACAGAGTGACGGTGCTATTAACCACAATAAATGTGCTTGCCCTCGATTTGGAGCACTTGCCCACGTCCTTCATTTCGAGTGTGCAACACATAGGCCAGTTATCTCAGTCAGTCGACCCATGGGACCTGGATCTGTACCGTGACCTGCCAGTGGGCGTTCAACACTTCATGTGGCCTTATAGTGCACATTGCCTGGCACAAGCGCCGTGGTGACGTCACTGCCACTTAGTGGCGGGTGTTGTATGTAGGTGGTTGTGTATGTAGGTGGGTAGGTAGTTTGGTAGGTGGGTGGGTAGGTAGGTGAAGGCCGAGGTGACGAATGAGAAAGGATGGACGATGCAGTCAATGATGTGAGTGGGTGTGGGTTTAGGCGACGTTAGTCAGTCAAGTGACGACGGATTTACAAAACGTTAAAGGAGACGTAAATTGGAGTATTACTGTCTATAATAAACGTTTCGGGCAATGGCCTTTCATTGTGGCATAAATTATTGGAACGGTCTCACCTGAAGCTTGGAAGGCTGCAGTTTTCAACCAGCGGTGATCGCCAGCATCCCACTCTATCAGCTGGGCTCGTGTGTATGAGTCTGAATGAGTATGTAAGTCTGAGTGTGTGAGACTAAGAATGTATGTTTAAGTGAGTGTGTAAGTCTGAGTGAGTGCGTGTGACTATATTTTTGTGAGTGTGTTATGTGACCGTGCGTGAGTATGTGAGAGTGTGTGTGACTATGTTTACTTGTGTGAGCGAGTGTGTTTGTGTGTTTGAGTCTGAATGAGCGAGTCTACGTCAGTGTATGTTTACGTGAGTGTGAGTCTGAGTGTGTTTTAGTCTGTCTCGTTGTGTATATGTGTCAAATCTTAATATCTTCTTGTCTGCATCTCTCTTAATCTCCCTGTCTCCCCGTGTATGTCTCTCCCCGTGTCTCTGTGTTTAGCTGGAGTGTACATTCCCAGGCAGGGTTGGGCTGTATTCAGCACCTCATTACACAAACTAAATCTAGAAAAACCTGTTTTTGTTTTTGAATAAAACTCAACACAACACTCAAAACGAGGCACCCGGATAGCACGGAACTTGAAAGTTCTCCCGACAGAACTGTCTTTTTTTTAATCTCCCAAAGAACAAAAATGCTATTAACTTTTTTAAGGTATACATTTCCACATAAGCCACTTCGTTATCATTCGTGATCAGGTCGCTTCTGAAAAATAAGTTAAGATAGATCAGTGGGCTTTACCTAGTAAAAATCTTGTTATGTTTTTACCTTTCCTATACTTTGCACTCCTATCGTATTTTTGTATTGTTGTAACGTTATAAACCCGTGCCCCTACCGGACATCTGTGAAAAAGAGCTTCATTGCTCATCGGCTTCCTCCAGTATGAATACAGATTTTTATTATATGACTAACATAAGATTAAAACTAACATAACCATATTTAAGAATTACAGTTGAGACAAAAAGCATTATATAGTCATCGACTTATGAACACTTAGTTCCTGACACCCGTTTGTAAGTCGAACTGTTTGTAAGTTGAAACAAAACAATGTACTGTATTTAAATGCCAATACGGTGTTATGAAATGTGTTACGTTTCAAGAAAAATGGAAGCATCGTTTTAACTCACAAATAAGAAGAAATTGTACATTTGCATGTAACATTGGAAAACAATACTCTATTGCGAATAAAACGTTAAATAAAGTAGCATTAATAAATAATAATCTGTTTTACGTTCATTTACCTTGAGTCCTGATGCTGGCTTGCTTGTCGAAAAGGGCCCAATGAGTAACAACAATTGCACACACACACAAAGACAGACACAATCATGGGGCACGCTTGTATGTGTCTGTCTTTGCGAAAAGTGTTGTTAGCGAGCAGCACCGATGAAGGCCGAAACGGCACATTAGGAGGTGAGTGGCTAGCACTACGCACTGCTGCCTTTGTCTCCCCAGTGGCGATGTTTACACACTGCATAAAGTAATAATTTGAAGCCAAGGCAACCTAGGGGAGGCCCAAGATGCATTCAGATATTTATCACTAAGTGGCGGTGACGTCACCACGACGCTTGTGCCAGGCTATGTGCACGTTGAGGCCACGTGAAGTGTCGAACGCCCGCTAGCAGGAGCCACGGGTCGACTGAGATGAATGGCCAATGCACCACCTGTGCCCCCTACTGTGCCAACTTGTCGTGCTTTTCCCACCCGGCGCTCCGCTCGTTGTTGCGAGCGTCGCTCCTCTGCCCTCCGTTGATGTTGGAGGGCGACTACCTCCAACTGTCCAATAGCGTCCTTCACGAGCCTTCTCCACAGAGGCCGATCTTGACACCGCTGGTACCAGTCATCAGCAAGTCCACTCAGTTCCACATCCTTCTGTACCACAACACTCCATCTCTTCTCTAGCCCGTGCCACGCCCGTTTAGCCCCTCTATCCTGCCGAACAAAAGCATACATTCTCACTTTTACACACCCAACAATGACAAAGATCCCGCATACAGCTTTAACAGACTAGGAGCAAGTGCTGTTAATGAGCACCTATGAAGGCCGACACGGCACACGGGGGGGGTCGGTGGCCAAGACCACGGCCAGCCGCCTTTGGCTCCCCAGTGCTGATGTTTACACACCACACCAGGTACTCATTTAAGGCTGAGTCTACCTAGAGGAGGCCCGGGACGGGTTCAGATAATCGTCACTGGTATTGGCTGAGCGGGAATCGAAGTCCTTGCAGAGGGCACAAACCGCGGACACTATCGCTCCCCACACACTCACTTTGTGGTGTGAACGAGACATTAGAGACAGTGCCTCCTGCAACTACTTCGTCTCCGAATGAGTGTGTGCGCCGTACACCACACGCACACACTCGCCGTGAAGGAGGACACTACACCTTTATAGGTCTCTGCGGTTCTAGATTTGAAGCTTTCGTGACTGCAATGATTCATATCCTTAGGTTTTTTCGGTAAAGTCACGTAGGTAAAAACATTAAAAAGTACGGTCAAGGGATAGCTCCCTATTGCTCAACCATGTTATATATGCCGATGATCTGGTAATTGCCGCTCACTCAGAAGAGGAGTTGGAGGTGCTGCTGCTGAACCTGGAGCGTGCCACTAAGAGGTGGGGCCTTACAATCAGCCCCACCAAAACTAAGCACCATCGGACACTCCACCCCCACAACTCCCAATTGGTGATGGGGTAGTTGTGGAGACAGTGGAGAGTTTCCCATACCTGGGCAGTGTGCTCATGACTGGCTCCGGATGGATGGGTGTCTATAATTGATCCATCAGATTCACCATGGAAGTGGAGAAAGACGGTAAACTACCATTCTTGGATATTCTGTTTGAGAGGAGGCCTGACGGATCCTTGGGACATTCTGTATACAGGAAAGCCACCCACACAGATTCCTACTTGAAACCGGATTCCCACCACCACCCTTCTCAAAATAATTATCTCATCAAAACGCTATACCACAGAGCCCATAGCATTTCTGACAAACACCACCTGACCGGTGAATTAAGACATGTACATCGGGCCCTCAGGATGAACGGATACTCTGACCGTACTATCCGCCAAGCTGTCTCTCCCACCACACAGAAACAGCCACATGAAACTCCGCCCAAAACCATCACGTTACCATACATAGCAGGCGTGACCAAAAAGATCTCCAAAATTCTAAACAAACATAAGATCCAAGTCCGATTCAGTACAGTGCATAAAATCCGTGATCTGATTCCATCTGTGAAGGATGTCGTTCCTGACTTACAGTATCCTGGAGTCTACAAATTGAGTTGCATTTGTGGTGATTGCTACATTGGAGAAACGAAACGTCATGTTTCTGATCGTGTCCGCGAGCACAAGTCAGATCTGAAACACGGCAGAACTGATTCTTCTGCCGTTGCCGATCATTGCTACAACTCTGTGGGCTCTCATGAAATTGTCTTTTCCGAGACCAAGGTTCTCTGCAAACCTCCCGGCTACCATCAAAGGTTTGTACACGAAGCCATACAAATATACAAACACAGACATAATTTCAACCGTGATGATGGGTACAAACTTAGTAATCATTGGAAAGATGTTATCAACCACGCAAAAAAGACTTAATTACACTTTTTTGGACCATCTTATCTGACAGGAGGCACTATTTTACTTTACTTTACCGAGTGTTAACATCCCCAGTTATTTTTTAACAGTACTCTCTTCATTGTTCAGCCAGCATTGGTATAAACAGGGGCATTTTCGTTATTTTGTCTATCATGTGTATCAGGCCTCCCCTCCCCCTCTCTGCCCCATGTGTTGAGCACTCCGTGCTGTCTTTGAGCCCCGCCCCCCTCCCTCCCGATACGTTTCCATTCATTGGCTACCACATTCTGATGAGCTTCCCCCCCCCTCTCCTCCCCCCCTTCAATCTTGCTTATAAGGGATTACATCTTGAATCATTGCCTCACTTGATACAGCTAATTCGGCTGTGACGGTCCCACCTGATGACGGAGACTTGTGTTGCCTCCGAAACGTCGTGATTTTTTGTTTTATTTTATTTTATTTTCATGAATTTTGATGTTTTTACCTACGTGACTTTACCGAAAAAACCTAAGAATATGAATCCTTGCAGTCACGAAAGCTTCAAATCTAGGTACTGTAACAATTAGCGCGCTGCTCTACCAACCCAACCCGAGTTAGATTCCTGCTCACAACCAACAACAGTGACTATTATCTGAATTGTCCTGGGCCTCTATTAGGTCAAATCAGCCTCAAATGAGTACCTGGTGCTGTGTGTAAACATCCCGACTGGGAAGTCAAAGGCGTGGTTCTAGCCAGCCACCCACCCCCTCGTGTGCCGTGCCAGCGTTCATAGGCGCTGCTCACTAACTGTACTTGCCCCAACAGTCTGTCAAGGTTGTATGGGGATCGCTGTCGTTGGTGTGTGTCTTTGTGCGTGTGCGCACGTATCCCCGTGTGTGTGTGCAATTGTGGGGTCTCATTGCATCCCTTCCGACAAGCAATGTATTGGCTGTACACTGGTGCACGGTATAAAATAGCACATTTTTCACAATTATTTATTTTCCTGCGATTCGCAATCCCAGTCAATGTTGTGATATGCGTCAAAATCAGTTCTCATAATGTTGAAGCAATCATAAGATGAATGTTATTAGCAGCTGAACACGAAGCTTCAGTCTGTTGCCATATAGCGGCCAGCCTGATGACGATTGGCTCCGTGTTCCAAAGGCAGATTTGACTCATACCCTAGACTTGGTCGGATGGTTCCTCGATTCCACGGACAAAAATCAACGGTCAATATTGACCATTTTAGCAAGTCTTAGTAGCCTGAATAAACCTTTGAATTGCGTCAAACTTGATGACAGGGTCAATTAAAGACTGATAAACTAATTTGTGGATTCAATTTTAGATCTATGTTATGAGGACCGGTGCGTCATGCTGCACCAGTGTACCACGAATACGTCAATTTGTTACTTTATTTTAAGTTTGATTTACTATCAAATATGTATTCCATGCAATTGTACAATATCTCATTTATAAGTTTAACAATGCTTCCCTTTTTTGTTGAACCATAATATGTATGCTTTCATTGTTCTGACTGACGAACTGTTCGACTTACGAATGGAGCCCAGGAACAGAACCCGTTCATAAGTTGAGGGCTTCCCGTAACTGAAACACATTTGTAAATAACACTGTGACCTTAAAAGGAGAATATACTGGTTGGTTGAAAAGTCAAGACACATAAGGTTATAATATTTATTTTTACAAATCATGTTCATAGGGTTATTTAATTTAGTTTAGCAAATGTTCAGACTGATTTCCATTAACATTCTATCTAGAAATAACTGCTCAACCAGACCTATTGATGCTTTAATATGTGCATTGTCCTTGTACTGTTCACCTTCTACAGTTAGTCTAACACTGATGAGACAATGTCATAAAAGAGTTTGTCTCTCTTGTGTAGGCCAATTAGTTTCAAGGACAATGCATACATTATTATCAAAGCATGCTTGTTTGCATGTTTTACCACAAGCATGAAGTGTGGTTATTGCAGTCTTGATGATGCCTCGCAATAATGGGGGGATTTGGTGTTTGAACATCTTAAAACCCAGTGTTATTGCCAGAAAAGGTAAAGCATATTTTCTTTTTTAAATCCTTTATATTAAGTTTGCTTGCTTGCGCGCTTACGACCGTGCAAATCTTTCGGTCGTTTTTTAACCCACTTCCCGTGATCCAATCGAGCTGACATTTTCCACACAGACTCGTTGTGCGTGACAATTTATTTTCGTGAAAACATTTTTCCAAAATTTTACACTTTTTAGGAAAAAATAATGGTATGACTGTGTGTGTGGGGGGGGGGGGGGTCTGTTTGTATGTATGTGCGTGCAAGTCTTCATCCTGGTTCTGGTTGTATGTTCTTGCGTGTGTGAGTGCGTGAGATGAGGTGGCCGAGTGGTTAAGGCGATGAACTGCTAATCCATTGTGCTCTGCACGCGTGGGTTCGAATCCCACCTTCGTCGCGATTTTTTTTAAATCCTTTATATTAAGTTCACTTGCTTGCTTGCGCGCTTACGACCGTGCAAATCTTTTGGTCGTTTATTTACCCACTTCCCGTGATCCAATCGAGCTGACATTTTGCACACAGACTCGTTGTGCGTGACAATTAATTTTCGTGAAATTTTTTTTCCAAAATGTTACACTTTTTAGGAATTTTTTTTATATGTAATTACCAATTGCTTAATGGTGGCAGGCAATCATCTGACCCATAGGTGGCAGCCATCTCAAGCCAGAGGACGAGAGGACTCTAGCCGCCACGCATATAAAGGATTTATAGTGAAAAACTTTGTTTTTACGGGTTATTTTTTTTTTATCCTTTATATTAAGTTCGCTTGCTTGCTTGCGCGCTTACGACCGTGCAAATCTTTTGGTCGTTTATTTACCCACTTCCCGTGATCCAATCGAGCTGACATTTTGCACACATACTCGTTGTGCGTAACAATTTATTTTCGTGAAAATTTTTTTCAAAAAATTTCCACTTTTTAGGAAAAACAAATTTCATATTTAATTTAAAATACCAATGTGATAAAAATGAAACTCTTACTCAAGAAAAACAGAAATGAATAATAAAATAAAACCGATGCCACGCATATAAAGGATTTATAGTGAAAAACTTTGTTTTTACGGGTTAATTTTTTCATCATCGTGATGCCAGCAACAAAGCAACCCAGATATATAACTGCTCGACCCGGGCTATTAATGCTTTGATATTTGCATTTTCCTTGTACTGGTCGCCTCTTGTCATTGTTCTCTGGTCAAACACAAAGGGCCATCCCATAGAAATCATAGACAGAGCTAAATAGAGAGCCATGAACTCCGACATCTTTGAGATTGGGTACAGCTCACATAGAGAGTTACAGACCTTCCCCGACCCGCTCTCCCACAGACTCTGAATTTTCCTCCTGCTTCACGCTGCCTCCATCCACCTGGAGGTCGTGTCCTGCATTCGAATCTTCATCTTCAAATTTCACCTTCACTTCTTCACATTCCACCTTCACTCCTGGCCACGTTTCAAAGCTGGGGTTGTCTTCTGGCTCTTGTTTTATAAGAGAAGGGCTCAGTGCAGCATTTGGACATTCAGAAGTCGATTTCACCTTCTTCTCTTTGTGGATCTTCTCATGCTTCTTTCGGTTTCCTGACACTGTAAACCCCTTCCCACACACAGTGCACTTGAATGGCTTTTCACCAGTGTGTGTTCTTTGATGAACGTGAAGAGTTGCTGATTGTGTAAATGCCTCCCCACACACAGTGCACTTGAAGGGCTTTTCACCTGTGTGTGTTTTCCGGTGTCTGTGAAGGGATTCTGATTGTGTAAACCCCTTTCCACACACAGTGCACTTGAAGGGCTTCTCACCTGTGTGTGTTCTCTGATGAATCTGAAGAGTTCCTGACTGAGTAAACGCCTTCCCACACACAAAGCACTTGAAGGGCTTCTCACCCGTGTGTGTTCTCTGGTGCTTCTTCAAGTGTCCAGTGCGATCCGTACGGTACGAACACTGGTCGCATTGGTGTCTTTTAGCACCAGGCTGTGTCGAGGGTTTCTTCTCCATGTGAATGATTCTGCAGATAAACGTACAAAAACACCTATGAAGGCTGGCATGGCTCATGAGAAGATGGGTGGCCAGCGCCATGCCAGGCCGCCTTGGTTTCTACAGGTACTCATTTGAGGCTGAGTCGACCTAGGGTAGGCCCATGACTGGTTCAGATAATCGTCACTTGTGTTGGCCATGAGCGGGAATCGAACTCTGGTCGCCCGGGTTCATAGCACACTACCACTCCCATTTACACACAATCCTCACACACAGACAATACTCACAAAATACAGTCAATGAGTTAATGTAGCCTAATTAACTAGATACTACACACATACAACGCTACTCACACACACTACTGACACACACACACACAATACCCACAAACACACAGTACTCTCACACAATATTCACTCACACAATACACAGACAATACTCACACACACAATACTTACACACACTACTCACAGACACTAACAACAACCGTCATATGACACTAAGTGGCAATAAATGTCACCACGGTAACTGTTCCAGGCCAGGTGCACTTTGAGGCCACGAGAAGTGTCGAAGGGTTGCTGACAGGAAGTCATGGGCCAGACCCAGGTGCTATGGGTTGACTGGCCGATGCACCATCTGTGTGCCCTTACTGTGCCAACTTGCTATGATTTAGCCACCCGGCGCTCCGCTCATTGTGGTGAGCGTCGCTCCTCCGCCCTTCGTTGTTGGAGGGCAACTGCCTCCAACTGCCCAGTAGCATCCTTCATGAGCCTCCTCCACAGAGGCTGATCTTGATACCACTGGTACCAGTCATCGGCAAGTCCACTCAGCTCCACGTCCCGATGTACCGTGCCATGCCTGTTTAGCCCCCTTTGTGCGGCTAAACAGAAGCTACTTGGGCATGCAGTGAATGGGCATGCGGGCTACGTGACTGTGCCAACGTAGCCTTGGCTGCCAGAGGAGTTCACTGATGGGAATGTGTCCAGATCTTTCAAAGATTTGCAAGCTCCTCACACAATCCAACCTGGTCAAACCTAGGATGGATCATAGGCAGGCTCGCCTGAATGTTTCAAAGCAGTGCAGATGTCCCATTAGAAGGGTCCACGTTTCACAGCGGCAGACCAGGTAACTTGCACACAGCATTATGCAGCCGATTAAAAGATATGCTGCTCGGCTGATTTGGAGTGAGACCTCTGCTGTCAAACCGGAGCTGGTCATAAGCACACTGCCCAGGAGTAGAAAAATCTCCACTCTCTCCACAACTGCTCTATCACCAATGGGGAGTTGAGGGGGTGGAGCGTTTGATGGCGCTGATCCCACCTCTTTGTGGCATACTTCAGGTTCAGCAGCAGTGTCTCCAACGCTTCTTCTGAGGGAACAGCCATCATCAGATCTTCAGCATACGTAACATTGTTGACCAATCGAGAGCCATCCCTTGACTGCATCTGGGCATCAAGAAGCCACCCATTGTATCTGTACCAGATGGAGATGCCTCTGGTACAGCCATGGAAGTCATCTAGAACTACGTGGTCAAAGATGATGTTAAATAATGTGGGAGCCAGAAAACTTCCCTGTCGCACCCCCAGGTGGACAGGGAATGGCTGTGACTCCTGATAAAGTAGCTTTACCCGGGCCTGCCCACCATCAGGAAGGCCCTTAATTATTGTGTGCAGAGAGTAAGGGACTCGGGAAGCACAAACAGCCCAGAGCCCTGTCATGTTGATGGTATCATAGAACTTGACCAGGTCAATAAAGCAGAAATGTAGGTGTTGTTAGAATTCCCTACACCTCTACTGTAACAGACAGAGAATGGCATCCGTGAACGACTGCCCTGGTCTAAATATACACAGGGGCTTCGCAAGCCTCTCCTCAGGTTGCCTGGAAAGGCAATGTTCAGGCGAGAGATGCCCCCACAATTGTTCAATCTGTGCAGTCCCTCTTAAAGAATGGAGACCACCAGGGCATTCTTCGAATCCTGCAGAACCCGTCCTGTGGTCCAGCTATTTGTGATATCACGTAGGGAAATCTACACAGAATCCACCCTCCCTTAGCATTTTGCTTTTAAAATTATCTCTGCCTGGCGCTTTTTCTGGTCTCAGACCCTGGATTGCCCCTTGTACTTCATCTACAGATGGCACCTCAGTCAACCGCTCAGAAGGGGGTAGCACCTTCTGGCAATATTTGAGGCACAGCAGCCCCAGCAAGTTCATCCACACCTTGCTCCATGATGTTGTCTGGGCTGAGGTAATTCCCCTCCCCCAAGACCTCATAGAAATTCTCTGTAAACCTACAGACCAGTAGTTCCTGTGGGCTGGAGATCGGATAACGATTCTTTCCCTTAAGGATGGTGATAGGTGGAGGCACTGCAAGTAACTTTTTTGATGGAATTAAAGAGTGATTTGTGCGGGCAACTAAGGCAGATTCTACCTCCTCAGCAACTCACACCCACCACTCATCGTTGCAACACCGTACAGCTCTTCGAACCTCTGAGCGAAGACTGCAGTAAGCCTCATCTTTCTCCGATGATAGTTGTTGTAGATGACAGTAGGCCCGTCATTTTCTCTCAACCAGCCAGTACACCTCCTCCTTCAGCCAGGGTCTCTGCATACCAAATGCAGCCATTGTAGCTGCTTGAGCCACATTCCTGAACCTCACCATCAGGCGGAGGGGATACGATGCCAACCCTAGTTGAAATACCTGCTTGTAACTATTCTCAGTTAGCTGAGACAAGGCTACTGTGGGTTTGAATAGGGTCCGAGATGGCCGTCCACCACTGGAGTGGAAAAATGACAGGTGCGGCTTACAGATGACAAGCCGATGGTCAGATTAGCTCCACGGTACGTCCTGGTGTCAATGACATGGGCCTACATCTGCTCATCTGTCACAATATATATTCCAGCAGATGTTCTTGCTTGATGTCCTGTTGATGCACCGCTGCCGGAACAGCGTGTTGGCAATTACAAACTGCACAGATTATTATTGAGTTAATCTGGCCCATGACCAACCAAGGTGTCTGCGTCATGACCCACTCGGGAATTAAAGTCACCAAACAGGATGACTCTATCCCGAGGGGCCACTTTAGCTTGCAGCTGGAAAAAGAGGTTATAGAAGGCGCCTGACACATCAGCCTTTTCTGCATCCCTCCAATTATGTTCATCTTCAGTGATGCTGTAAGCAACCACCACCATTCCTCGCCTCTTGTTGATGGGGAGGCGAGCCCACAGCAGCCTGGGACTTACAGCTACCCAAACCTCACCACCACGCTCTCACACCCCCTTAATTCGTGTTGTTTGGCAGTTTTCTGCCCCGAGTAGAGAACTGTCCACCCCTCATTATGACTGGAACCAGAACCGCTCCACCAAACCTTCTGTATTCCACAGAGGTCCAAGCGGTACTGGTTCGTCTCCTAACAGAGTGGCATCCGCACTCGGTACTTATTTGAGGCCGAGTCGACCTAGGGTAGGACCCACGACCAGTTCAGATAATTGTCGCTGATGTTGGCCGTGAGCAGGAATCGAACTGGGGTCGCCGGGTTCCTGACGCAGCACGCTCACCACTTCACTACTGCTCTCCACACTCACATCACCACGGTCCACACACACACAGCCTGCACCATTTACACACACAGTCTGTACCGCCAAGTATCAAAGCCTACACACACACACAACCCGTACCATACACACACTGCCTGGACCATACTGTACACACTGTAGTGCTCCACGTTACTAAACACTATACAGTAAGCCACACTATGCTGAACTGCACACTACTGTATAATTACAATACATTAAAACATAACAATGCACACAAACATACACAGACACGAACACACGCACCTAGATACACAATCACACAGACAGAAATAACACAGACACAATACAAATACTGTACTGACGAACGTGTCGGTTCACACGCACGCGGATAGAAAAAAAACAAGCACCAAACCGCCGAAAAATACGTCAATCATTAACGCACACTAGTAAAACAACTAAATAGATACAGTACATAACACTCACACACAATACTTACATTACTCGCACACAGCATGCACACAATACAAACGCACAATATACACAACGACAATGTTAACACATAATACAGGACACAAAAAACAGTGCTCATACAATACCTCCACAGTACACACACACAATACTCACACAGTAAATACACAATACACCCACACAGTACTCACACAACACCCACACACAATATACCCAAACAATACACACACAATACTCACACAGTACATACATAATACACACACAATACTCGCACAGTACACACACAATACTCACAGTACACACAATATACACGATACTCACACAGCACACACGCACAATACACACGCACAATACACACACACAATACTCACACAGTACATACACAATATACACACAACAGTACTCACACAGTACACACACAATACTCACAGTACACACAATATACACAATACCTCCACAGTACACACACACAATACTCACACAGTACAGTACACACACAGTACTCATACACAGTACTCACACACAATACTCACACAGTACTCACACAATACACACACACAATATACCCACACAGTACACACACTGTAAACACAATATGCACACAGTACATACACAATATACACAAAGAATCACACAGTAAACACACGGAATACTCACACAGCACACACACAGTAAACACAATACGCACACAGTACACACACACAATATACCCACACAGTACACACACAGTACTCACACACAATACTCACACAGTACTCACACACAATACTCACACAGTACACACACAATACACACAAACACAATACTCACGCAGTACACACACAATATACACAAACACAATACTCACACACAGTATACACAGACAACACACAATACTCACACAACACCCACACACAATACCCACATAGTACAGTACACACACAATACACACAAACACAATGCTCACACAGTACACACACAACACACACACAACACTCACACACAGTACTCACACACAATACTCACACAGTACACACAAACACAATACTCACACAATACTCACACAGTACACACACACAACACCCACACACAATACTCACACAATACACAATACTCACACAGTACACACACACACAATACTCACACAATACTCACACAGTACACACACACAACACCCACACACAATACTCACACAGTACACACACACAACACCCACACACAGTACTCGCACAGTACACACAATACTCACACAGTACACACAACACCCACACACAGTACTCACACAGCACAGTACACACAATACTCACACAGTACACACAACACCCACACACAGTACTCACACAGCACAGTACACACAATACTCACACAGCACAGTACACACAATACTCACACAGCACAGTACACACAGTACTCACACAGTACAGTACACACAGTACTCACACAGTACAGTACACACAGTACTCACACAGTACAGTACACACAGTACTCACACAGTACAGTACACACAGTACTCACACAGTGCACACAATACTCACACAGTACACACAACACCCACACACAGTACTCACACAGCACAGTACACACAATACTCACACAGTACACACAGCACAGTACACACAGTACTCACACAGTACACACAGTACAGTACACACAGCACAGTACACACAGTACAGTACACACAGTACTCACACAGTACACACAGTACTCACACAGTACACACAGTACAGTACACACAGCACAGTACACACAGTACAGTACACACAGTACTCACACAGTACACACAGTACTCACACAGTACACACAGTACTCACACAGTACACACAGTACAGTACACACAGCACAGTACACACAGTACTCACACAGTACACACAGTACAGTACACACAGCACAGTACACACAGTACAGTACACACAATACTCACACAGTACACACAGTACTCACACAGCACAGTACACACAGTACTCACACAGTACACACAGTACAGTACTCACACAGTACAGTACACACAGCAACTGGACTGTACTCACCCCGCTCGCGGTTTCTGCGCTCGCGACTTCGCGTGACGTCATCAGCGCGAGACGCGCTCGGAGTCGGGTCAAAGGAGTTCCCCCCACGGTGACGTCACCAGGGAACTCCACCCACTCAATCGTTTCGAATCACCACGCGTGATCAGTATTTAGATTATATTCTTGGTTTTTTGGGTAAAGTCACGTAGATAGAAAACTAAAATATAAATAATGAAATGAAATTAATAAAAGCAAAAAACCCACAATAAAAAGTGAAAATAATAATAATAAACTTTATTTATTTATTTTAGTAAAAATAATACATTGAAAATACTGTAATAATAGCAAAAAAACCCACAATAAAAATAGTTAAATAAAATGAAATGATAAATAAATTGAATTTATTTTAAAATTTATTTAACTATTCTTGTGGGTTTTTTGCTTTTATTATTTTCAATTTATTATGTTTATTCTTAATTTAATTATTTTTATTTGTTTTCTATCTGACTACCGAAAGAACCAAGAATATGAATTCCTGCAGTGACGAAAGTTTTAAGTTCAAAGTATTTAGATTACTGTGTTTGGTTACGATACATTTACACACGATAAGCCACTTCGTTGAGCTATAATTTGTGGCCAGGTCGTTTCTGAAAAATAAACTAATACCTCAGTGGGTTTTACCTAGTAAGATAAAATAAATAGTTTAGTTTCATTTGTATTTTTTTAAGTTATGTGTTTACCTTTCCTATACTTTGCATTCCGATCATATCCTTGTATTGCTTGTTGTTCTAATGTCCTGATTGTGTGCCTCCTACTGGACATCTGTGAAAAAGAGCTTCAAATTTTTTCGGATTCTTACAGTATATCAAAAAATATTCTGATTCTGTGGGCGCCGTTCCCCAGCAGTTTGGGCGCCGAGAGCTGAGCTCTGCCTGGCTCTGCGCCCTCCCCCGTACCGCAGGTATCCCAGGGAGGAGAGGGAGCAGGTAGATTGGGGTGACGAGTCTCTCTTTTCACATTGAACTAAAACAAACATCGTGAGTCTTGGCGCTTTGCCTTATTCATTAAGTATATCCTGTTCATCGATAGTTCAATGTTAATGTGCCATTTTATTGAGGGCCTACTACTGCTGTGTGTTATCTTTGTGTGCTCTGTGACTGCTTTGTTGTTTTTGCTGTCTTGTCCAATCTGTATAAGTCAGACTTAAATAATTACGTATTCATATGTCGTGTGCTAAATGACGACGCTGAGGCAGGTCTTCATGTAAGGGCTTGCGCCGGTTTATTAACAAGGGTTGGTGACATCTATCACCAGAGGTAGGTGCCCTACACTTGGTCCTCCACGTGGACCCTCGGCCCTGTCTGTCCCTAGCTCGGCTATCTCTTGGGCTCTCTCTCTCGAGTCGGATCGGGGGTTCAGCCAACACCGACCGACCGAGGAGAGCAGCACCTTCCACAACTACCGCCGGCTTTTCTCCAGACTTCCTCAGCTCTACCCCTGACTGTCTCTTCAACCGCTCTCCATCCCAGGCTCCCACAACAACCCCGCTTTCGTCACGGGGCCCCCCTTAAGTACCCCGAGGTGACATGAGGTCATCGTACCGCATCGTACCGCACAGCGCGTATGACGTCACGTCTCCAAATTACTCCTCTACACATATTTAGCGACTTGCTTTCCATTTTCTCTTTTTGCACTCCTGTCGTGTTTGTATTGTTTGCTGTTGTAACTTGCTGACTCGCCCATAGTGGGCATTTGTGTAAAAAAAATACCTTCATGGCTCATTGGATTCTTCTTGTCTAAATCAAGGTTTTAATTTTGAAGCATTCCATGTTCTACTGTTTTAATTCGATGTATTACTAAATTTATTAATGACCCACTTTGCTCCCTGGTATTTCAATATGCACTTGAAGTAGCTGCTGTCACCCCAGTTCTCAAAAATCTGTTGCTTAATTCTGAAACACCTGCAAACTACCACCCTATTTTAAATCTCCCATTCTTATCGAAGATCAGGGAATGTCATATACAATCTAATTAATAATTATTCAACATGACCTCTGATCAGATGCAATTCGGTTTTTGGAAGAAAAAAAACTCAACTTAAACCGCCTTACTTCTTGTATCATATAATCTATTATCTACTGATTGGATATCTTTCTTATTTGGTTATCCTGGATTTATCCCCAGCATCATTCTATTCTCATCGAGGGTCTTCATAGCCATGTCGGCTGCTATTATGCCTTTCTAACTTGGTTCTCTTCTTATCTCTCTGATGGGGTGTGTTACGTTTCTACAAGTGATGGCACATCCTCGTGTAATGGGTTCAATTTAGGCGCACACACTTCTTGGGAGGCAACACTCATTTATTGATGAACACAACAGTTACTCAACAGTTGTTCTTACTCTACACATAGGGTGGTGACCACCGACCTACCCTAGCTAACACACACTTGTCTCTTAGCTACTCCCGCGTGACCCTGCCAGGTGGCTGCTGGCAGTCCGCTCACTGTAGGCCTTCTATTCTTGCCATCTTTACGAGGCGTCTTCATTCTTCGCAGGAACAGCCCCGAACCTCCTGAGGAGGCCGCTTATATGGGCCCCACCCCGGCCACGCCTCCCGAGTCCAGAACCGGCCCTGACGTCATTCTGACCTCCAGCCGGGATGACGTCATGTGTGTGTAGGCCCACGTGGTAGTAACGCTCACCCACATGGTGACGTCACCCGTGTGCACACAGTAGTGATGCTACAATCACTACATCACCCTCCCCCACGTAAAAAAACAGCCGTCCTGGCTTTGACAATACAGAAAAAGTGTGCCTCCAACAACAACATCAATAAATAACTGGCGACGATAATAATTACCGCGAGAACATATGTACACACACCGAGAGGGGGGGGGGAGGGAAGAACGTATGGGACGAGGGGAACCAACAACAACACATGTACACCGAGTAGGCAAACAACAAGGTGTGAGAGTTATGCACAGCGGCCAATCTTCGAACAAGTTCACGTGGCCGAGCCCCCAGGGGAGGCAAGCACGCTCTTCCTGGAGGTCCTGGGGGAACTTTGAAAAAGGCCCCAAAAAGGGCAGGGCCCCTCCCCAGGAGTTGGGCAACAGGATGAGCAAGAGTGATGTATGGGCACTCCACTCCCCCCTTCAAGTCCACATCCAGTCAGCACAACCGGCGACTCCAAGGCGGCAGGTGCAGGAATCCTGTGACGAGAAGAAACCACCTCCTGAGGCACAGCATCACGAGCCCCCGCCTCAGCTTGTCGGACACAACAGCCACCCGGCTCAGGGAAGTGGAGATGATCGTATTCCCCCCCGGCGGAAGAAAGAAAAACGAAAATATATAGATTCCGACGCGTTGGATGCACAACCAACACCGGTAATCAAACCAAAATCACCCAACCACCCCATAGATGGCAGGGTCTCACAGCACTTAACATTCCGGACGTCTCCCTACGTCCCAGGTTGAGAAGTCGCACTTCAGGGTCGACCCATGTACTGGCTCAAGGAAGCCACGCTTCAGGGTTGATCCAGTATGCTGCACCCAAGGTACAACGTTGGATGTTGTACAACATCCCGGGTCAAAGAAGTCATGCTTCCAGGTTGACCCATGTACTGAGCAAAGAAGTCTCACCTTCAGGGTTGCCCCAGTATCTACATTTTTTTTAATGAAAATATGTTAATCAACGTGGCACTGACAAAAAAAATGCCTGCTCATGCCCAGAAATAGTTCACACGTGCAACCCCCACATCTCCGAGGCCACCCGTGTACGTAAAAAAATAGCGGCCGCATGCGCGACCCGTGTCTGCACGGCTTCCCGCGCGCGCCCAAAATGGCGGGCCAACGCGCGAACATCGCCGCGGTTTCCCACAAGCGTACAAAATGGTGGCCCAGCAGCCTTCACTGAGGAGCACCACAGACATTACATGTCACCTGTTAGCACCCCCCCCCCCCCGCCTTTCCGACGTGGCGTCTCCATCCTTAAAACCGTGCACATCGGCCATATCGGGGGGGAATTCTATGTAACCACCCCACCGCCTTTCCGACGCGCGTCACAACCAGTAGCACGCGTCAGCCGTATCGGGGGAATTTTAACCCAGTCTCTCTCCAAGACTCCCATCGCAAGAATATAGCTGTACCGACTGAGCTGAGACCCAGTGTCTCTCCAAGACTCGCATCGCAGCATATAGCTGTACCGACCGAGCTAAGATGACCCAGTGTCTCTCCAAGACTCGCATCGTAGCATATAGCTGTACCGACCAAGCTGAGACGACCCAGTGTCTCTCCAAGACTCGCATCGCAGCATATAGCTGTACCGACCGAGCTGAGACGACCCATCGTTCACTCACTGCACAACATGCACCCTAACAACTGAGGGATACAGTCCCAACGTAACGGGACAACTCCACCTGAACACTACGAATCTCCAGCCCACTTTTTCAACGCGCCTCGGAGTGTCTCATTCTCCTGGCCGTCAGGTCAAGCCATCAGACACAGCATGATGGGACCACACTCTCTGAGCCATGTGAGCGCACAGCCCACTAGGCTAGACAAGCCACGGAGTGTCTCGATCTCCGGGCTGTCAGGTCAAACCGTCAGCCATAGCATGACGGGACCACAATGTTCGTGTTAGACACGCAACACTCACTGGGCCATCCTGGTCAGGATCTGCGCCCCAAGATAGGTGACAGCCAGCACCACAATTCCAAATCCCTGGCAGCATGTCACCATCGCAATTTAACACCATCACAACACATACAATTTGAATTATGATCCCCCACAAAACTGATCCAATGCCGAACAGGCACGCACAATTTGTGACGATCCCGAATATTCAATGGTCACAACAATACACCTCACATCCCGTATCCGTACACATCATCTCCGAGACTCGCATTGCAGCATGCAGCTGTACCGACCGAGTGGAGAGAGCAACCCAATTTGACGGCAATTAACGGAAACGCACCCCCGATCCATGTAGAACACAAGGGGCATTCCCGCACAAAAGACATCATCTGTGCAACAATGGACAGGAACCAACCAGTGAGTTTGAAACAAACCGAACCTGTCATTTCAAAATCCCCTT